GCACCTAGCTATGATTTAAATGAAGTTGGTTTGAATACATGATTCAAACTCCAACTCCATATATGATTATTTAAATGCCCTTTATTTGTTTTGTCCAAAACAGAGGACAAACATTGTTCAAACATGCATGAAAATGGTACAGATGGATTCCTTGAATTTTTCTGATAATTTTTCATATATAATTTATTTAATTTGGAGTTACGGTTGAATTTCTATGAATTTTAGAAGTTTATACAATTTTCTAGAATTTCCTGATTATTTATAAAATAAACTAAATTCCAGAAAAGGAATATTGCGTCAGCATGGCGTTGGCATGACGTCAGCAGGTCAACAGGGGCTGGTCCGGTCAAACCTGACCAGTGGGGCCCACTGGTCAGTGACTCAGGTGACTAACAGAGTTAATTAATTCTAACTAATCAAATTAATAGCCACGGGGCCCACTGTCAGTGTCAGCAGGGGTAATTAGTTTAACTAATTCAATTAGTACTAATCCTAATTAACTAACAGAGCAATTAGCACTAATTAAAATCCTACACTAATTCAGTCAAAGGCCAGCCCCACATGTCATGGACACAGGGGGGGTCCCGCCGTGGTCAAAGTGGGTCAAACCCACCGGCGACATGACGCCGGCGAGGCCCGAGACGGCGGCGCAAACCGGAAACGCGCTACAGGGCACGGGCGAGGCCGTGCTTGGGCTCGTTGGAGAGCCCTTGCTGGTGCGCATCGAACGGTGGTGGTGGCCGTGCCTGTGGTGGCCGGTACCGACGACGGCGAGCTCGTGAGCGGCGGCCGGAGTTCGGGTGCGGTCGGGTTCGGCGCTGCTGCTCGCAAACGAGGGAGCTGAGGCGCTGGAGGGGCTCTACGGGTCACTGGGGTCATCAGGAGCACTCGGAGGCAACGAGCGCAGGTGGAGGAGCTCGGGAGCACGAAGCTCACCGGCCATGGCGGACGGCGACCTCGGGTGCTCGTGGGGCGGCGGCTACAGGGCATGCGCGAGAGAGAGAGGTGAGGGGAAAGGAAGAGGGGCTCACGGCGGACTCGCAGAGCAGCTCAATGGGCTCGGGGAAGCTTCTGCGACGGAGAATTGACGGCGGTGATCTCCGGTGGCCGACGAGGGGAACGACGGTGCTTGCGACGTCCAGGGGCTTCCGGCGTCGGACGGCTCGGTGAGGAGGAAGAGAGGGACGAGGCGGAGCCCATGGGCGTGTCGGAGAGGCGAGGCGGTGGCTGTGGCCGCGGCGAACGGCGTCGGTGGCGACGGCCGTGCGTGTGAGAGAGAGACAGAGGAGGGGATGAGGCGAGGAAGAGTGCGAGAGGGAGTCGGGGCAGCGTGGCGTCATCCAGGCACGGGGTCAGGGAGGAGGACGAGCCTCCAGCGCGAAGCAGGAGGTGGCCAGAGCAGGGTGGAGGTGGCGCGCGCGGCGGCGTCGCGGTGTCCCTCCTCTGCCTACTGGCACGAGGAGGAAGGCGACAGGGGGAGGCGCCTGGTGGGCTGGGCCGCACCGGTGGGCTGCCAGCACAGGAGCTGGGCCGGTTGTTGGCGCCAGGTGGGGCGCTAGGTGGGCTGCAGGTAGGTGGCCCAGGTAGGCTTCTGCTATTTTTTTATATTTCTGTTCTGTTTTCTTTTATTTAATCTTTTGCCACTGTTTTGAATTTAAAATAATCCAAACAATGCCAAAAACTCCTCTGAATATTTTTATTTTGCTAGATGGACTTTTCCAAAAGCTCATAAAATATTTCAGGGGTATTTGAAATTATATTCTAATTATATGAATATAATTCAAATTCAAATAGCTAATGATTTAAATTCAAAGTCCCAAGATTAAGTCCTTAAAAATGTTCAATATTTTGGTTGGGACCAGAACCCTTTCCAAAAATTATCAAACATTTAAGAAGAGCATTTTGGAACAATGAATGAGATTTTAGGGTTTTTGTCCTTCTTTTATTGAGGGTTTTGAGGCTTCTAAATTTCTCCAGTTTAAGTTTTCAGAAATTTAAACATGATGCAAACACTAGGCAGCACCAGAAGCTAGGGATCTGACATCAGATTAAAACAACCACTTTGGCACGTGCATACACATACTCCTATGAGTACATTCGATATACTGAGCCGGCACAATATTTTGGAATTGATGAAGTCATCACGGACGCCTTCATAATTGACGAGAACGTCTCCTTCCGCTGAACGCAAATCGTCATAAGACCTAAAGTAAATTCGGAAAAATGCGACCACCAGTACAAGTCTAGGACATGAACTCTAATGGGTTGATTTCACCACAAGAACATAACCATTTGAGCTACATTTAGTTCACCGCGTTTGAAATAGTAGTGAGTTTGCATGTGCCCTCGTACATTTTCATCACGTCCACTCTCTCTTTCTCTCTGAAAGTGCTCTCCTGCTCCAAAATGAAAATGCACCTAGGTGAACAGTACATTCTGGAAAAATGGCAAAAATTAACTGAAAATACTTTGAATTTTTTAGCACACGGTCTTGAGTGTTCTTCCTACAAATAAATTTTCATAAAGAAATCACATTCATAGAACTTTGGGTATAAAAAACAAAACAGACGGTCCAAAATGCTTCAAAGATGATCTTTTTAGAGTACTAATTTTGTTTATTTGTTCTGTACACATTAAATGTTATCTCTTAGCGAAACTGCATGGAAGTAGAACATTCGTACATGTGTGTTGTAAAAGCATGGATTTTTCAAATTTATTTATTTTAGTTCATATTTCTCATCTTCTCTCTCGGTCCTTTTTGTCGTAGCCAATATTTTATGTCCATCAACTTCTCCAGCACCAATATTTATGTTTATGTCCTAGTGCAGTGGCGGAGCTATGTTGGAGCCAACCTGTGCTCTGGCCCGCCCTGTCCAGCTGAAACGCGGCCCAACTAGCCAGTCAAGTGTCCTTGTCTATCTCTTTCTACGCTTTCTTCTTCAGGTTGGCCCGCCCAAGGAATCCACTGTAGCTCCGCCAGTGTCCTAGTGTTGCTCATGTGTTCATCATTATCCAAGATGAGGTCGCACTACTCGCCTAGTGACCATAAGTTGAGGTTCATGTGGATCCTCTATATCCTCGAGTGTTGTTTTTCATGTGTCCCCCTTATCCTCGAGTGTTTAATGTATGCTCACCTACCATACAATTAATGCTAGATAATAAATTATGTACTGTAATATTGATTCAGTCTACTAAACTACATATAGTAGACACTACTTCAACTGATCACACATAGACTGAATTTGATAAGATTCAACACCGTTCAATTTACATCCACCTGCAAGAAGCATATTTAAAATGTGTGCCCTCCCCTCTCTTCTACCCCAACTAACTCGTACCGGGTTGCGTTTGATTCATAACAAAAAACATTTCTAAATAACATGTAGGTCATCAAGCCACCAAGCAGCTATTTAAATTCTACAGATCTGCGAATGCACGGGCATGTACAATTGTGCTATCTTAATTTTATTTGTGTCGCATAGGATAAATGCTTAGGTGAAGAAAAGAGAAACCAAAGAAATGACTTTACCTTCTCTCTTTTTATTTTTTTGAAAAAGACAACAATAACTTTATTAATTAGAAACAATGGTTACATCATCTATAAAAATAGATACATTATTTTCTATAAGCTCCTCGAACTAATCCCTTGCCACGAAACATTTCACTAACCTAGCAAGTTCGCAAGCCATAAAAAAGCAATTATCAAAAATTGTCGCCGCCACTCCGCAGAAAGTCCTTTGTTCTTCATTGTGTTAATGATTTCCATGTTATCAAAGTTAATAACGAGACGATTGCAACCTGCCTTTTGTGCCAGCAATAAGTCAAATCTAAGCACCAACACTTTCGTTGTCAGTACATCAGCACACCAATCAATCTTTCAATTTCCGGCAACAATAAATTTTCCTTTGTCATCCGTGAATACAGCATCGGCTGCGCCTCTAAACAGATCATGATCAAAGGAAGCATCGACATTCAACTTAACAAACCCTATAGGAGGTCTACTCCATCCTCCATTTCTCCTAGTTGCATTAGGGGAGCAGACATTTACATAGTTTGCCGTTATAGCACGAATTCCCATAAATCAACTTGTTTCTTAAAACCATGAATACCAAACGGTTATAGCGATCAATTCACATGCATTCTGAAAACCCATTATAGATATTCTTGATCTCGCATGAGGAGTAATAATTCAAGGATTGCCTCTCCCGCACGATCAACAACACAAGCTTTTTTAACCGCCTCGTACATCCCCAACTTATCCCACACCTTTTTTGCCTTCTGACACAATATAGAAACAACACGTGTTTTGCATCCTCTCGGCCTTCTTTTAATGATAAGAGATGATCGCTTAGCAACAATTCTCTCACCATATTTTTAGGAATTACAGATAAGATTAAGAGACCGCCCATTGTACATCATCTTTTTTATCATCTCTACACTACAAGCCAAGATTAAGATAAGATTGTCTTACCAATCTCTGTACATGCTCTACCAGACAAAGTAGTATGTGAATTTACGAATTTAAAGCGTCACGGCACACTCATGTCCCAAAAATTCACGTCCCCTCAGATTACCACTACATAATTTTGAGACGACAATGTTGTAAAGAGTGTGATGTGATCACATGCAAATCAGCATGTCTGGACGGATGGGCAAGACAATAGACAACCGCATGATGCTGCGTTCCACAATATAAAGCATTTATGAACTTCATCTGGACGGATGGGCAAGACAATAGACAACCGCATGCAATATAAAGCATTTATCAACTCTTCTGTTAGAAGTATGTTGGTACCATCAGGTATCAACTGGCAAAAAATATTTGAAAATAACTGCTCCTTGGAGAAATGCTTTTGCAGCAGAGGAAGAAAACAAAAGAGATTGTACCCAAGGTATGATGGGAGACAACCCTAGTAGCAAAAATATACAACGGAAGCCATTATTTCAATCGCTTCTGCTTAAAGCCTCAACGTTGCAATAAAAAGAAGAAACAATGGTCATCAGTTGACGACGTCCAGGACCAGCTTGCGGGACTTGAGGACGGACCACCTCATGCGACGGTAGTATGCGGCTTGGAGAAGAGCAAGTGACAGTAGGAAGATCCATTTGACACCCATCTAGAAGAAAAAAAATGATGTAGGTATTAGGCACATCAGAACAATGGACAACTAAAACAGTGTGTAACTTTTACATGAGTAAAGTGTCAGGCAGTTACCAGTTTCCTCTCTTCCATTTCAGGCTCAGCAGCCCACGACAAGAATGACACAACATCCTTGCCCATCTGCGATAGAAATTTAATGCTTCGGTGTTAGCACAATAAGACAACAATTTACGCATTAAGGGCTCAACAAAGGTTTAAACGACATACCTGGGCTTCAGTTGCAGGAGTACCATCTTCATACTCAATAGCCCCATCCATAAGCATCTTAGGCATGGCTATGGCACCACCAGGGAAGTAGGGATTGTAATGCAGACCCTCACGAATCTACAATTTAATCAGTCAGAGTAAGTTTACTAATGCCAAAAGAGTCTATTAGCAGCCTCTTGCTAACTATTACAACAGAGGAGAAATTACAAAAAAAAAGTAAACAGTACAAAAAATTACAGGTTTACAACAATTATTATAGTTAGCAGCCTCTTGCTAGATGATAGACAAAAGAAGCTTTTTCAGTAAGTGTATAAAGTACTGCAAACATCATAGAATATATTCAGCAGAAACAATAAACATTGGCAGGGAAGGTAAATAAGTCTTCTTAGGCTAGCCAAAAATCCTAATTTTGGAATGTATTCGTGTGTTGGTGTGAAATGTATCCATATGATTGCATACCATGTGCCTTAGCAACTTTAATGCAGGTACAGAGAGAGAATGAATACAGAAAGAAAGTACAAACCTAAGCTACACGATGGAGCCAAAAGGCATACAGGAGGCTTACCTGAACACCAGCAGGTGGGTCATGGTAACCAGTAAGAAGAGCAAACACGTAGTTCTGGCCATCGTGCCTTGCCTGAGCTCATATGAATCAAATACAGTAAGTTAAAAGTTTGAGATGAAAGATTACACCACTGCAATGCAAAGAGATGGGCTATTATTACCTTCGTGATAAGGCTGAGATCTGGGGGATATGCCCCACCATTTGCAAATCGGGCTGCTTGTTCATTTGGATAAGGCTGCGGGAAGCGATCACTCAGCTTGCCAGGACGTGTGAACATTTCACCCTCATCATTAGGACCATCAACCACTTCAATTTCAGCAGCCATTGCCTTAGTTTCCTCCTCAGTATAGGCCACCCCAACCAAATCACGGTATGAAATCAATGACATGGAGTGACAAGATGCACACACTTGCTGGTAAACTTGATGTCCACGGCGGATTCTGCTCATAGATTTTATTTGTATAAGGCGTTACAGTTCAAAATGAATGCCCTAACTTTTTTTTCACTATCTTACTGGGAAAATACATTAGCACAGCGATATTTTGTTCATAATATTAATCTCAATGTGACACACTAAACACATAGTTCATCTACGAAATAAAAGAAGCACAAATGGGCGACTTACGATGCGTGATCATACGAGCTAAGGATGCCAGCATGCGGCCAGGGGTACTCTGCAGCTGCCAAACCATGCTCAGCTTCATCTGCAGATGCTATCGTACCAAAACTTAAAAGACCAGAAGCACCAACTCCAAGAAGAGCCAATGCTCTCAGTCCAGCAGAGGACTCTTCATGCTTTCCCCGAAATGAAGAAAGCAGAGATGAGCCCTGGAAAAAAAGATTATAATGTTAGAACGAGCAGTCATAGCGCATAAATAGTACTTCCTCCGTCCCATAATAAGTGACTCAACTTTGTACTAACTTTGTACTAAAGTTGGTACAAAGTTGAGTCACTTATTTTGGGACGGAGGGAGTAGTATTAAGTATTAACTAGTTGATGGCTTGACCCAACCGAAAGTCCGGCATTGAGAACTATCCATTCTACTTTACACGAAAAGGTAATCCTGCCAAACGTTTAACCCGCACCCCAAAAAAAACATGCAGCATTTGAGCAATAACTGGTTTCTCTATCAGAAAAAAACTAAATACAGACTAAGCATGCCAAGGATTTATTCCCAGCATATGGAACAGTAATGTCATAACTTCAGTACAACCGTGGAAACTAATAAAACAAATAATAACGGGGCTAGATACTGGACTAGTTTTTCAATAGAATGCATACCAAAGCGGGAGTTCTGAGAAAGCACTTACAGAAGACTGGCTCTGAAGAGTTTTCCTCAGAAGCTGGTTAATGCCCCTGCCGGCAGCCATTCAGGGCTCTGCATCAAAGATTACAAGCTGTGTTATAGAAACAAGTTGGAGTGGTGTGATATCACAAAAGCAACAGACAATAGATGCAAACTTGCCAGCGATAAATTGAATGACTGTGATTGCATTTACATTATCCAAGCCATCATATTGGAGAGGATTGGAAGAAAATTGTGGCACAAAGTACAAACCCAATAATCAGAAGGATATGTTGCAAAATGTTTTTTTTTCTACAACGTCAAGCCCAAATCTCGAAATAAAATTCAGGGCAGTCACTTCAGATTGGAAACTAACAAACCTCAACAGATATTAGATCATACACTGGACCAGGCTTGGCAGTAAAGTATGATGATCTCCACACGAAATGAAGGGGGTAAAACAGGACTGTAACGACCCTAAATGGATCAGATTCACCGAAGTGTGGCGGGTGGCAATTCCATATCTACAGTTCCCAAGCAGTAACACCAATCCCCCGGGAGATCTAAACCGAGACGCGCTATTGGTAACGGTACGACTACGGCGCGACAGCCCAAATGTGTCAGATTCGCAGAGGAAACGGCGCGATCTATCTACGCGCTCGATTACCACTCACCCCCGAGATGTTGACCGGATCGCCCGTGCGCAACCGCGCGACGACCGGAGCAGATCACCAGATCGGGTAATATATTGCTGAAACGGGAGGGACGGGTAGAAAGCAGTGAAGGGCGTAGCACAGTTACCGATTGGGAGCGGACTTGACACGGCGAGGCGGGGCTCCGACGAGCGGCGGCGCGGGGGGTGGGGAGCGGGTGGGAGGGAGGTGGATGGAGGCGCAGGCTTTGTGGCGATGTGAGGAACGCGATGAGAGTGAGGAGGCTTTGGGGGGCATGACGCTGACACGCGGGCCTCTTGCCCCGAGGATCTCGTATGGGCCGTTTGCCTCGGGTAGTCAGGTTGAGCCAAAACCTGGCCATGTGGGCGGACCGTGTTGTCCCGGCCCAAAGGCCTGAGGTCGCGGATCGGTCTCGCACATTGTGTGTTGAAAAGAGCGAAAAGGGGCATTTCTAACCGATCCTAACAGCCAGTATCCGGCGGAGTAATACCTGTGTATTCTATGTCTTGTTTCAAGCTGACTAGAGGGTTGTGTGAGAAGTTGACGTCCATAATCAAAGCTTTCTGGTGGGGCAGTAAACAAGGCCAGCGCAAATCTTATTAGGTCTCTTGGAACACCATGAGCATGCCAAAATATATGGAAGGTTTAGGCTTTCGAGACTTCGAAATCTTTAATCTAGCGCTGTTGGCCAGGCAGGCATGGCGTATACATGAAAACCCGGACTCTCTGAGTGCTAGGATTTTAAAGGCAGTCTATTACCGCAACACAGAATTTTTGTCAGCTGAGTTGGGCAATCACCCATCTCAGATTTGGAGATCAATTTTTGAAGGTCGGGACACATTGAAGGTGGGACTTATCAGGAGGATAAGGACAGGTGCTACGACAAACATCTGGGATATGAATTGGATCCCGAGAGCAGAAAACATGCGCCCAATCGTGTCACTGATTGCCCAACCACCTCAGTTGGTCTCTGAGTTATTGCACCGGAATAACGCAAGGTGGAATGCACAACTAGTTGAGCAAATTTTTTTGCCTTATGATACAGCCGCTATCTTGCAGATTCCAGTGTGCACGTGAAACATAGAGGACTTCTGGGCGTGGAATTTTGAAAAGAATGATGTTTTCTCTGTCCATTCTGCATATAGGATGATCATGGCTATCAAGAAACGAAGAAAAGATTGGCTAGAGAATCGAGCAGGGTCCTCTAATAGCTCTGAAATTGAAAAATCATGGACTACTTTCTGGAAAACTATTGTACCAGCAAAGATAAAAGTGTTCTTATGGAGGCTGTCCAAGAATTCGCTCGCAACAGAGGATGTTCGCAAGCATGGGAAGATGTCTCACCATGACCAATGGTTCGTGTGTGGAGCTCAAGACTCGTGGAGGCACAATCTCCTAGAGTGCACCATGGCGCGTTGCGTATGGGTTCTCGTGGACCATGATTTGTTAGAGCATATGATTGCAACACCAGAACCAGACGCTAGGAGTTGGCTCTTTTCTATGATGGATGTTCTAAGTCACGACGAATTCACTCGGATGACGGTGACCTTGTGGACGATATGGTATGCAAGGAGAAAACTCATTCATGAAGGTATTAATCAAAGCCCCTATGAAACTCATACATTTGTCACAAACTTCATCTCTGAGTTGGATCAAATTCCGGGTATACCTGAGCCCACAACAAGAGCTGGTTCTACATGCAATAATATGCAACGACGCTGGATCCCGCCAGATGAGGGACTAGTGAAGATAAATGTGGACGCCGGAGTTTCAGTGCAACACAGTGCAGGAACCGCAGCAGCCATCTGTCGTGATTGTGACGGTTCCTATCTTGGGTCGTCAGTGTTAGTTATCCAGGGCATATCAGATCCAGCTAGTTTGGAAGCTTTTGCTTGTCGAGAAGCTCCTTCACTGGCGCAAGACTTGGGTTTACAACATCTCCAAATTGCATCAGATTGTAAACATGTTGTGAACCATATTCGCCAGGGCGTGGGAGGAAGCTATGGAAGTGTTATTATGGAGATCCTAGAAACTGTGAGAAATTTTACTTCTTATAATTTTGTTTTCGAACCTCGAGCTTCAAATACTGAAGCTCATAGATTAGCTAGGTCAGGTACTTCTCTACCTTACGGGCGCCATATTTGGTTGGGCACGTCAAGTGACCCAATCGCATTTCTTGTAAACATTGGTATTGATCAATAAAGACCTAGTTTTCTTGCTAAAAAAATCCGGTGGAGTAATGTTAGCGGAGTAAATTTTTTATTTTATTAACAATGGCCGCACCTAGCCAATCTTCTATAGTTAGTGGAGTAAAAATAAAATTGTGTAAAATTTGTGTCCTCGCTGCATGAACTTCAAACACTATACAATATAATCTCTCTGTTTCTTTAGGTGTATTATTTTCGGCATGTTGACCAAGGCACAAAATTATAAACATGTTAAAAACATTCAATTTAAATTTATACATAACATAAAGTTTCATCATTGAGTTTTTCAAATTAAAACATGCAAAGTTCCCAAAAAATCGCTTCAAATACAACGTTTGATCCAAAATCACCACAAACATAGCATGTATATGTTCTGGATTGAACCAACCAATGGCATGCACCACCACTCCCTCGGTGACCACCACTCAACCAACCCTCCTCGCTCTCTCGCTCGCGCCGATGATCACTCCGGCCGCGGCGGCCACCCGCCTCCGTCTCTGGCCGCTCGGCTAGGAGCGCCACCTCGCCTACATCCATGGGTCGTGCCCGCTCGGTGCGCTCGGGCAGTTCTGCCCGCTCCAGCTTGCGGGACATCGTAAGGTGGGGCAGGCCAGTGTCCGTCCCAGATCCGCCTCTACCCTACGGTCCGTCGACGGATCCGATCACTCTGACGACCCCCGGCCCGCCTCTAGGCCCTTCGCCGCGTATTCTGCTCCAGGACCGACGCCACCTTCTCCACCCCGGATCTTGCTAGGGATCACCAGGCTGGGCAGCTTCGCCTTAAGTCCATCGAGGTTTGCCCTTCCCCCCGCGCCGACCGTTCCCCTTCGGGCCATGGTGATGGATGGACTGAGGCCCAATCCCGCAATGCGTGCCACGCCAGGAAACGCGCCCACGCCTCACCTGGTCGCCCGCGTCGGCGTCAAGGCCAGCGGCCCTCCTTCAATGCGGTTGCTAGGAGGGAGGCCTTCTTAAAGCTGTAGGATCGAAAGTATGTCTAGAGGGGGGGGGGGTGATTAGACTACTTGACCAAATAAAAACTTAACCTTTTCCCAATTTTAGTTCTTGGCAGATTTTAGCTATTGTAGGACAAGTCAAGCAATCATCACACAATTCAAGCAAGCATGCAAAGAGTATATTGGCAGCGGAAAGTAAAGCATGCAACTTGCAAGAATGTAAAGGGAAGGGTTTGGAGAATTCAAACGCAATTGGAGACACGGATGTTTTTCCCGTGGTTCGGATAGGTGGTGCTATCCTACATCCACGTTGATGGAGACTTCAACCCACGAAGGGTAACGGTTGCGCGAGTCCACGGAGGGCTCCACCCACGAAGGGTAACGGTTGCGCGAGTCCACGAAGGGCTCCACCCATGAAGGGTCCACGAAGAAGCAACCACCCACAAAGGGTCCACGAAGAAGCAACCACCCACAAAGGGTCCACGAAGAAGCAACCTTGTCTATCCCACCATGGCCATCGCCCACGAAGGACTTGCCTCACTAGCGGTAGATCTTCACGAAGTAGGCGATCTCCTTGCCCTTACAAACTCCTTGGTTCAACTCCACAATCTTGTCGGAGGCTCCCAAGTGACACCTAGCCAATCTAGGAGACACCACTCTCCAAGAAGTAACAAATGGTGTGTAGGTAATGAACTCCTTGCTCTTGTGCTTCAAATGATAGTCTCCCCAACACTCAACTCTCTCTCATAGGATTTGGATTTTGTGGAAAGAAGATTTGAGTGGAAAGCAACTTGGGGAAGGCTAGAGATCAAGATTCATATGGTAGGAATGGAATATCTTGGTCTCAACACATGAGTAGGTGGTTCTCTCTCAGAACATATGAGTTGGAATTGTGTATGTGTTCTGATGGCTCTCTCAACGAGTGAAGAGGAGGTGGAGGGGTATATATAGCCTCCACACAAAATCCAACCGTTACACACAGTTTTCCAATCTCGGTGGGACCGAATCAACAAACTCGGTTGGACCGAAAAGGTAAACCTAGTGACCATTAGAGATTTTCGGTGGGACTGACATGCAACTCGGTAGGACCGATATGGTTAGGGTTTGGGCATAACGTAATCTCAGTGAGACCGATTACACAAACTCGGTGAGACCAATTTTGGTAATTAGCTAACCAGAGAGTTGGTCAGGCAAACACGGTGGGACCGATTTGCTCTTTCGGTGAGACCGAAAAGTTACAAAAAGGAA